GCCTTAGCCGTGAGCCCTCTTTGCTGCCCCTTTGGTTGCCTTTGGTCATGAGTCTTGGAAGCTGTCTTCTGCCTTAGCCGTGAGCCTCATTTAGCCCTGTTTCTTGTCTTAGCCGAGGGCCTTGGTGGTTGCTTTCTCTTCTCTATTGGCCCCGGCCCTGAGCATTTATTTAGGTTATGTGGGAAAATTTCATGTTTATTTGATATACGAGACTTCTTTAATTCGAAAGTAGGAGAATTTTAATTTCGGCATGAGTTTGGAAATATTGATGGTGGTTTCCCCGAAGTCACTTTCTTTTGAAGTTTAGGAGATTTTAAACCTCATTTTGGAAAAACATTTGGTTGATTTGATCAATTCTATGTCTTTGGGGTGCAATCCTATATCTTTGGGGTTTGGGAAATTAGCGCGAGCTTGCCCTTTATGTTTGTTAGGAAAGATCTTGGGCCCCTCTTCGGTCTTCCTTTTCGAGTCTTTTTGTCACGAGTTTTGAGAACTGATCCATTCTTCTTTTTGGTGTTTTATATGGATCAGTGCCTCTTCTCTCTCACCCCATTTTTGTTCTTTTCTTTCCTTGCTTCTTGGTTCGTTCTTTTTGATGCTTATGTCTGGTGTCCACGAATAGCCTTTTGCTATACGTGCAACCATCAAGCAAGGTTGTAAGTAGTCGTTTTGGGGCGTACGGTGTTGATGATAAAGGCACACCGAAGATAGAGTAGAAAGATGCCCTATCCTATAACATCAAGATCCAGACATTTGATGAACAATAGGATATGGTATCCTTCACCGATATAAGTCTAGTGCGAGTTGGCTCGAACCTTCTCAGATATTGGCAGTCCCACGCCCGACAATGTAATCGACTCGTAGACAACGAAAATTTCTAAAAAAAAAGATAAATATAAGTTTTGATAAACCCTTTTCAAGTAAAAAAAACATACTTTTCAACGAAACAAAATTGATAACTCTTCTTTGCAAGTTTAAAATTTGTATGCATGCTAAAAAACATAAGACACTTTAAAGATGGTTGTCCACCTGACGAATACCTGTTTAGGCTGGGAAATAGCCTCCTAAGTGAGGTTCAAGACACCCTTCTAGACGAGTGGCGGGTTCTATATATTCGGGTGACTGAGTAGCCTTTGTGGACCCTCGAGAATAAATATACAGCTGAGTCTAGTCCCATACGAGTGCTTGTGGTCCCCCCTCATCCGAATCTTTTTTTCGTTTCATCAAAGCTTTGGGATAAGGCACTCGTGTTACTTTTTCTTTCTTTCGGGATTTCCCCAGGATTTTCGAGGATTTTCTTTTACTTGAGTCTTTTTCATTGATTCTCTCGAGTTTTCTGTCATGAGTTGTTGTAATGCTCTTCTTTGGATTTCTTGGATGACGTTTTCTTCCGGACTTCGCTTTTGAGATGCACTTAGGCTTGCTATACTTAAAAAACGGCGGATCTCACGGGCATACAGGTTTGATTTACATTTTACAGTACTTTATTTTCTTATTTTTACTTGCTACCGTTCTTCCTGTATAGCGAGTTATATTATTTGTGTTTCTACTTGCTACTGTTCTTCGTGTATAGCATGTTATACTGCTCCTGTTTCTACTTGCTATTGTTCCACATGCATTCTACTGTTTGTTCCTGCATGATGCATTTCATGTTATATAGCTTTAAACATGCCTTCTTTTATGTAGGACATTTAGAGGACTACAACCATATGACCGTTTGATTTGAAACTATAATTGAACACCCTAGAAAACTTAAAACTCATCACGTCGGGGAGCTTGGAGCTAGCGCGGTGGGCAGTACGATCATCTTCAACAGCAGAACATGTCTTCCCCAGCAAAACCTTTTTTCCTAAAAATTAAACAATAAATCATAGAATTCGGATGTTGTTTGCCTAGCGCAACATAAATCCTCACTTTATCTGTTAGGCCTTTGCACAGTCACACTGTGCGATTTAAGCCTTAGGTTCCGAGGTTGTCGTCAGATACGACGTAAACCCTCATATGTTTCAGGCGATTTATGTGACCATGTCACACAAATATAAGTCATAATTAAATAAAATTGGCAGGATGAAACACTTTAATAACTTCTTCTTGAAAGTGAAGTCAAACCATAGGATAGACTGAGAAGTCACGGAGGCTCGCCTCCGGATCTATGACCTCCCCTAATTTCTCTTCACTTGGATTCCTCAACAATGTTCTAGATTTGAGTCTTTCCCCTTTCACACCTCTTCGTCCGATTTCGTTAAAAAGTCCTATCCTTTTGACTTCTTTGAAGATAATATTCCCTGATTTTTATCGAGAGTTTTCTTAGGTGACTTCAGTCATTTAAGATGTAATTAACTATAAGAGCTTGCCCTTATAGGAAGCTTTTCCGAACTCAGCCTAAAATAAACCCTATTTAATTCTTTGTATTAGATAGGAGAACTTGTCGGCAAATAAAACGGTTTCGCAGAACAAACGGATGTCATATGTTTTCTTAGTTTATTTGATCGAGTCTCATCCTCAAGTCTTGTCTTAATCCCTCGGGATAGATACAAGATTTGAGGTAGAGCGGTCTTCGATTTCATATTTTTCTAAAATTATATATATGTAAATTAAAGCGTCCTCCCGAAGCGGGCGACGAGACTTTACTCGTAGCGACCGACAGCTTCTTACGGGCAAACCCCAACTTTAACTTTTTAACGTTACCCCCTCTCCGCATCGACATGTCCTCATCTGTCCAGGACGCCTCCATACGTCGTCTCGGTCTGGCGACAGAGCTGCTGCTTCGCTCGCTTGTTCGCGTTTCTCGCTGCTCTGCCCGCGTTTTTGCATTTCCTTTAAAACGGCGTCTCCTTGCTTCCTATGCTACTGCACTTGCCGACGACCTCTCGATTCCTACTCGTGCTCTTTCAGAATTAGAGATTGGTTTTTCGTATAGGTAAATCTTGCATTGTTCCTCAATCTTTTCATGATGCTCTTAAAGGTGGTGGCGATCACACCTTCATAAAATAATTGGGGAAAAAAATAAGAAGTCTGCTCTTATTCTCACAGAGGTTGAAACCAATACCCTCGCGTCCTCTTGGCGTTTTGCTCTAGTGGGGAAATTTCTTTATGGTCACCCAAATTGAAGATCATTCGGAAAGTTTGAGGCTATGAAGCTAGTGGGCAGTTGAAATATTGGTTTACTTGACGACCGACACATACTGATTCAGTTGTCTCATGATATTGATTATACCTTCATCTTTTTTCGGAAAGTCATCAAGATCGACAACCGTTATATGAAAATTCTGAAGTGGACTGTTGGTTTCGACCCAAAGGAGTCCCCTATCATTCCACTTTGGATAAAATTTCCGGGGTTAAAATTATATCTGTTCAATTTGGAAATTTTCTATGCCTTAGCAACTGCTTACGGTAAGCCTCTCAGGGTTGATAGTCCTACACTTGCTCACTAGACCCTCTGTGGCTTGTGTGTTAATTGAGAGAGATATCACTCAACCCGCTTCAGATGAGGTGTGTGAGTATTGGCTAAAGGTTGAAATCGAACCACCCTCCTTATTGCTCTCATTATAGTATGTTTGACCACAACTCTACTATTTGTTATCGTTTGTATTCTCATCTAAATTCTCATCTAAGAGTATTCTCATCTAAGACCGAATATCACTAAAGAACAACCACCTATTATCCCTGTTGAGAAATTGCAACCCGATCCTCTTCCCAACACTGTAGTTCCTGAAGAAGAACAAGATACTACAACTACAGATCTAGTTGTGCTTATACCACCCACTGTTATTGAAGAAGACTCACTTACATGCCAAGACACACACGAAAGTGCACTTTTGATACAATAGCAGATCAGCCGGTACAACATGTCGTTGCTTCTAATGTTCAACAATCTGCACATCTCCAACACACTTGCACTCATATCAAAGATCAAGTGAGCCAATCTTCGGAA